ACATACTGTGCGTTCAGAGATGCTCTTCTGCCTACCTTGGTTGTAATGGGTGGTTATTTGCGTCACTGTTGCCTTTCTATCAGCTCGAACCAGTCTGGCCATTCTCCTCTGACCTCTGGCATCAACAAGGCATTTCTGCCCACAGAACTGCCGCTCACTGGATATTTTTTCTTTTTCGGACCATTCTCTGTAAACCCTAGAGATGGTTGTGCGTGAAAATCCCAGTAGATCAGCAGTTTCTGAAATACTCAGACCAGCCCTTCTGGCACCAACAACCATGCCACGTACAAAGCCACTCAAATCACCTTTCTTCCCCATACTGATGCTCGGTTTGAACTGCAGGAGATTGTCTTGACCATGTCTACATGCCTAAATGCACTGAGTTGCCGCCATGTGATTGGCTGATGAGAAAAAATTGTGAACAAGCAGTTGGACAGGTATACCTAATAAAGTGGCCAGTGAGTGTATATATAAAATACAATTATGGTTGTATGTGACCATGTCGCCGAAGAGTAACGCAGATCTCTGCAGGAGCATCCCTCTGAGATGAGTCAAGATTCATAATATGTATTATCATATGAACAGTCAGTAAACCTATTTCTCTGTGACATTAGAGCTGGTTGCGAAAATTAGCAGGATTCTCAAAGCCAAAAATGTGGCAGACCAGCCATGTATGTATGTATCTATGTACGTTTATATGTATGACTATCCATGTATGCAAGTGAAAATGTTGATGGGGATACGTAAGGTGAAAATGGAAGCTGAGTATGTTGAGAATAAAAAAAGGAACAGGCAGATGAGGTTTGACACAGTGATGCTACGAAAGAGGAGGTCATCATGTTCACATGTGCTAAAGGAGAGCGAAAATACCATATAAAAAAGGAGAAGATCAATACCAGGAGGAACAAGACTACTCAATTCAAGTAAAAAGCAACGTTTTGATGAGCTTAACATACGACAATGTACATTTATAGGAAATTGGGATGTTCTTGCTTCTAGCTGTTTATTTGTCACGGACGCATGGCTATCATTAGGCCGAAACCTCAGAGGTCACAATCTGGTAAATGTCATATTTTTTTCACCAATCTATACTATTGGTCTGACCACACATACAAATCCCAACGGCCAAACCTGGCGCTTTTCCGACAGACTTTTGGCTCCGAGGAGGTCAAGCCACATCAATACTTACCTGTATTAATGATTACCAGTAAATTAATCTTTGCAGTGTGGCCACAAGTCAGATGCAATTAGCATGCGATTAGGACGGCCCTTGCAGCTTCACAGGGAGGGGGTTTAGGTGAGGGGCGGTGACAAAAAGAAAACAATACTGCATGCAACATCATCTGGAGCAGTTGAGAATCTAATTTTATCTAATAACATGACGAAAACATCAAACATTTACCACTAAAAAAACGATATTGTTAGGGGCTGGAACGGACATGACATTTCCATTGATTTTGATGGTCAATATTACCTAAATTTATGAAGGTTTCAGGTTACAAACAGGCTCACGGAACCAGTTACGTTAAACGTAAGGCCAATCTGCATGTTTTCTTGCATGCATCAAGTACACTGTCTGATGAAGCGCGCGTGCGCTAATTGAACGATATGTATCTGCTCCCAGTCTCTCTCTAGTGACCAAAACCGATATTGTATCCTCGGCCTGAATCCATTTTCATTTATGTGACTGTATTACTGTACTCTTGAGCCAATTATTACATGACTATTTGTTCTTGAACTATTTATAACTTGACGCGGGTGACATGACTACACTCAGTTTGCACACATAGATGAACAACCATTCGTGCTCTCACTCGCACCTAGGGACAATTTAGAGTGTTCCATTAACCTGCCACGTAAATTATAGAATAACCAATACTGTTTCATCATATTTTTCAGAGCTATTACCTTATAGATCTAATGACCAATTTACCTCGTAATCGTGCCTCGGGTCGTATCTCGCTCTCGTGTTCTGTGCATACATCACAGGTGAGTTTAGTGATCCGCCCTTTGGACGATTCATCCGAAAAATTAGACTGGCATTCCCATTTCTTAAAAGTCGTAATTAGTAGATCTTGGTGAGTTTTTTTCGCCGCCATCTCAAACGTTCATGACCTACTTTTTGAATGCCTATTTTTCGTAGACATTTCAACCTGGTTTTTCTGTCCAAATGTTGCAAGGGATATTATATACCTGTATAAAATAAAAGGGGTATTTTGAAGCAAGATTATTGGCCTTCTTCTTATTATTATTATACAACTGAATGAGTGAAATGGGCAAGGACACGGAGATTGATGAGCAGCTGATCTTAATCCAAACACACATGAGACTTGCTCCTAGCCCCACCCCAACCTCAGCTTTTCCTAGAAACCAAATATGTACAATTTAGTGTATCTCATCCCTGTTTGGTCCTCGCTCTTCCTTACTTGTGCAGCACTTACGCACCCAACCATGCCCCGGTTGTGGATCACCCACCAGGCACTTCTCATTAAGTTCAGCTCTCCCTTCCTCTTCCAGGGGCTGTATGATCAAATTAATGTTCATTTATGCTTCAGGATGTCAACCTGAGCTAAATACATGTTAAAATGTGTGCATAAGTCCATTTGTTTTGGTGTGACACTCAGGGACTGACTTTCAAATAAGTTGACAGTACTATCATTTGGACAAGAAATATTTTTCGGCGACCAAGAACCGCCCAAAGAGCCGTAAAC